ACCCCGATGCGTGCGCACACAGCCCTGAAGGGTCGTTCCCACACCATACAACTAGTCCGCTCACACAAAGTGCACGTGCTTTATCGCGCAGCTGCGGCCAAGCTCAGGACTCTAACACGCCAGCTGCATGAGGCACAAGCCAATACATTCGCGCCTTACTTGAGATCACAATCTCATTGGTTCAGTCTTGTACGCTTTTGCTTGCCTTAAGTAGGCTGTACCAGGTATGCGAAAAGACTTCTATTTTTGCGCTCTTCTCGTTGTGCTCTTCCTTGGTGATTACCACAAGGCGTAATTAGACGGCAATATCGCAGCTGTGGCCACATTTATTACAGATGCAAGGGAAGAGAGGCAACTGAAAGGAACAGCGATCACTGACGAATACAATTCCTACTTGTCCCGTCAAATTTACAGTGCTCGTGACTGCATTCGCCTATATCGATGTGCGTAGGCACGAAATTTACATGTCAGACTAAGTAAGCTCGCATTTCAGTGAACTGATTCACTTGTTATCAATAAGTACGGGAATACATATTTTTAACTACATTGTTAACTGTTGGGGTGGAAGGGGTTGGCAGATTTGCTTAATTTTAGTTGACCCAATTGTGAAAAAACTCGCGGCGTCGGCGGTAGTCGAACTCGCACAGCAGGGAAGGCCTTTGCGCAGCCAACGCTCTACCGATTGAGCTATGACGCACGCCGTGAACTTAATCACACTTAGATCGATTTTACTCGCCCAAATTACCGCACGTATGCAATCCACCATTGTGGAACAGCAAGCTGACTGCCCAGGCAGGATTTCCTAAGCAATTATGTAGAATCCACCGGAATTACTACTAGGCTGACTTAATTGTTAGGGGGTTTTGGCACAAGTACAAGCAATGAATAGGCGCAAGTCCCGCGCAAGAAGCACTGTCTCAAAAAAAAGTTGCCGACCATCCCAGAAGCGACAAAAACCAGAGTTTTCAAGCGACCGAGCTTATTCGTAATTTTTTTCCTCTTTACTTCGTGCGTACCTTCATTTGACGACAGGCTCTTCAGACCTACATTGTATTTGAGAACGTCACTATTACTTTGGCTTGTCGCAGGTCTTGAATAGACTAAGACTGAGTGTCCTAGAGAAAGAAGATTAATGACGTGACATGATTCCTAGTAATAAAAGAATGACTAAAGTATAAAAGAGCACGCAAAGGGAAAGGGCGGGTAGGTGATGAAGCAGAGATAAAAATGAAGGATGGTGATTTCAATAAAAAAATTTGACTCGAGAAATTTTGCTTTTGTGGAGATTCCCGCAGTCGAAGCGCTAACAATGACGAAGGCTAACGCAACATCCGTCCTCACGCGTCTTACCGTGCCGCGAAACAGTGACGAGGCCCCGACAGCAAGCATCCCTAGGCCACTCACGCCAT